CCGCTAATATCTAAACCTAACCACTTTGATGTGATCCCTACTGAACTTTGCAATAAAGGCATAATTGTTCGTATTTCATTAGTTAATTATTTTATTTTTTGTTAATTATTATTAGATTTTTCGTGATAATTGACTATGCAGAAATTTGGTCAAAGAATAATAGATAATATACTGATACAGTAATTTAAATCACACAATAATAAGTAAACATTAAAGCATTAACCCAAAATCTTAGATCCAACAGCTTTCAGAAACTCGGTAACATCCCCAAAGTTATCATAATCATCAACAATACGTTGCATCTCCAGGTCAAACTTCTCCCACTTTGCTGCTCTCTTGAAGGGTCTTCTGGTGAGGATGTTGGTGATCTTCATGTCTGTCAAAGCCTGCTCCCTCTTGATGCACTCTAAGAACTTCCAGATGGAAGGGTTGTGACAGTTGACCAAGGAGGCGAAGCCGCTGTTCCAACCCTCTGCGATGTTGCTGGAGCGAGGTAGTAACATCTGGGACGCTTCGTGGTGATTCCAGGAGTCGTGCCTGAAGAGAGGAGGGGTGGAGGTGGTTCCGATCCATGTCGACTCAAAGTATCTTGCGAAGGCAGTCATCTCAGCAGGAAGAGAAGGTTTGAGAAGCCGCCACGCCTGGTCCACATCACTGCAGTACCAAGGAGGATAGATCTTCTGGTGTTGGCTTCGAAGGATAGTCCAGCGACAGAGTCTGCAACAATCTGCTTAGTTGAGTTCTCAGTAGTAGCTGCAAGGGTCTTCATTTTAGACTTGGAGCGGTGGGCTGCAATTTCTGCTGGTTGAGATTCGTGGTCATGAGGGGTAGCAGAACAGAAGGTGTCCTGGACAAGGATCAGGCGGGACTTGCACTTGTTGCACTTCCAGTAGGTCTTGTCTTCCCTCTTTCTGTTAAGGTGGTAGAGGTGACCATCGTAGAGGACGTTGTGGCTGCCTTTCTTTCTGCCAGGAATAAACTCGATGGATGAGGAAGACATAGTGGTACAAGATAAACACAGGCGTTGCGGGTTTATTTATTATTCCCGCTAGCTGATTGAGATACCGAGCATGTGAAGGACGGTTCACATCACTGTATTGTCGTATAGCAGGTCATTATGGATGACTTGATCCGAACCAGTTCTCGTTAGGGCTCCTCGTTGCGTACGTAAGTCTGTGGATCACATGTCTGACAGGCCCCATAGCAAGCACTCCATGAGAGCACCGGCTCAGATCACGTCATGATATTAGACTAGTGAACTAAGATCAACTGGTAGGGATTGAGGTATATTTCAGGACTGAATCACTACCGGACTGAATCACTACCAGTAGTGATATTTGGGTGGTAGTGATTCCGTCCGGTAGGGATTCAGTCCTACAATCGTAAGGGACGACCAGTAACGGGGGAGGGGTCTAAAATAACTAAAATTGGAGGCAGTAAGGGACGGAAGTAACGGGGGAGGGGTCTAAAATAGCTAAAATTGGAGGCAGTAAGGGACGGACAGTAACGGGGGAGGGGTCTAAAATAGCTAAAATTGGAGGCAGTAAGGGACGGACAGTAACGGGGGAGGGGTCTAAAATAGCTAAAATTGGAGGCAGTAAGGGACGGACAGTAATTACGGGGGAGGGGTCTTAAATAACTAAAATTGGAGGCAGTAAGGGACGGACAGTAACGGGGGAGGGGTCTAAAATAACTAAAATTGGAGGCAGTAAGGGACGGGAGTAACGGGGGAGGGGTCTAAAATAGCTAAAATTGGAGGCAGTAAGGGACGGACAGTAACGGGGTAGGGGTCTAAAATAACTAAAATTTGAGGCAGTAAGGGACGGACAGTAATGGGGGAGGGGTCTAAAATTGGATGCAGTAAGGGACGGGTCTAAAATAACTAAAATTGGAGGCAGTAAGGGACGGAAGTAACGGGGGAGGGGTCTAAAATAGCTAAAATTGGAGGCAGTAAGGGACGGACAGTAACGGGGGAGGGGTCTAAAATAGCTAAAATTGGAGGCAGTAAGGGACGGACAGTAACGGGGGAGGGGTCTAAAATTGGATACAGTAAGGGACGACCAGTAACGGGGGAGGGGTCTAAAATAACTAAAATTGGAGGCAGTAAGGGACGGGAGTAACGGGGGAGGGGTCTAAAATAGCTAAAATTGGAGGCAGTAAGGGACGGACAGTAACGGGGGAGGGGTCTAAAATAGCTAAAATTGGAGGCAGTAAGGGACGGACAGTAATTACGGGGGAGGGGTCTTAAATAACTAAAATTGGAGGCAGTAAGGGACGGACAGTAACGGGGGAGGGGTCTAAAATAACTAAAATTGGAGGCAGTAAGGGACGGGAGTAACGGGGGAGGGGTCTAAAATAGCTAAAATTGGAGGCAGTAAGGGACGGACAGTAACGGGGTAGGGGTCTAAAATAACTAAAATTTGAGGCAGTAAGGGACGGACAGTAATGGGGGAGGGGTCTAAAATTGGATGCAGTAAGGGACGGGTCTAAAATAACTAAAATTGGAGGCAGTAAGGGACGGACAGTAACGGGGGAGGGGTCTAAAATAACTAAAATTGGAGGCATTAAGGGACGGGAGTAACGGGGGAGGGGTCTAAAATAGCTAAAATTGGAGGCAGTAAGGGACGGTCAGTAACGGGGGAGGGGTCTAAAATTGGAGGCAGTAAGGGACGGACAGTAACGGGGGAGGGGAGGGGTCTAAAATAGCTAAAATTGGAGGCAGTAAGGGACGGGCATTAACTGGGGAGGGGTCTAAAATAGCTAAAACGTGGCTTATGTAACTAATTTCGGCAAATATTGGCTACACGTTGGTGACAGTAACAAACTCGATTGCAAAAGGCTACCAGTAAGTGGAAACTTAAGCAGCAAACTACAACAAATTAACATTGGTAAATTTATGAAGGAGCACATTGGCGGCTTCTAAATAAAGTAAGTTTCTGACAGGTCTGTTTTCACACAGTTTAATAAAATGTTTCCTGGTGGAAAGATTAACTAGTAATTTGCCAGTATTATATATGCTGTGTGCAGAGGGAAGTCAAAACACTGCGCAAACTTTTTTTTAGCATATTGCATATTAAATTTGAGAATTGTAACTGTGCAGGTGTAACTATGGTAACTAGTAGTGTAACTATGGTTACTATTTATTGTAACTGTGCAGATAGCATACTGTTACTACTTATCAGAGGATTCTGTCGCAAAAATATGAAAAGTTGATTGTTACGCCCCTTTACTCGTATTGACAACCATGCTATAAACCCCGGTTTTGAAAAATGTAGTTGTGTAACACAACAAGAAAATTGAGAATAATCTTGTGCGAGGGTAGGGACCCAGATGTCGTTTCTAACCCGAATAAACTTTAAGGAGGCTTCTCATCAGTAGCCGCACCTCCTTACTCGGTTTCTGAACTGGAATTCTATGGGCTTCCAGACGGCCAGACCGAGTATTACCACCCCATCCTTCTAGAGTTCATCACAAGTAGCACCCACCTTGAAGATCTTTGACACCCAGACACACCCCATTGGCGAACAAACTTTGGATATAATCTTACATGCTCCCGAAGGAATCCCTGGTTTATGGTCTTTCTCATCGTCACCAGCACTTTCACTAGAGTGACCAGCCCTTTCACTGGAGTCATCAGCCCAATCACTGAAGTATACAGAAGTATAGTTGTGTAACACAACAAGAAAATTGAGAATAATCTTGTGCGAGGGTAGGGACCCAGATGTCGTTTCTAACCCAAATAAACTTTAAGGAGGCTTCTCATCAGTAGCCGCACCTCCTTACTCGGTTTCTGAACTGGAGTTCTATGGGCTTCCAGACGGCCAGACCGAGTATTACCACCCCATCCTTCTAGAGTTCATCACAAGTAGCACCCACCTTGAAGATCTTTGACTTCCAGACACACCCCATTGGCGAACAAACTTTGGATATAATCTTACATGTTCCCGAAGGAATCCCTGGTAGCATACTCTCACAAGTAATTTGCGGGGAGAAATCAAACTTCAAACATTACTAAGACTCTAAGAGTAACAGGTGTTATTGAAGGTCACAATTCGCTTATGTAGATAAAATATCAGAAGGAACTGTTTACATCTAGAATTTTTAGAACGCATAAGAAGTTAGCATATATGAAATCTAATATGCCAAATGGTTACGCCACTGGTTACCACTGGTTACCACTAATAAACACTGGTTACCACTGGTTACCACTGCACTGGTTACCACTGGTTACCACTGGTAACGCACTGGTAACGCACTGGTAACGCACTGGTAACGCCACTGATTTCTCACTGCGGGGACACAAAAGGTGACCAAACTGTAGAAAGTTTATACTGTATAATGCAGAGGAGCTGTTGACTCATAATCGAGCCTACCACTGCAGTGCACTGCAACCAGGTGGGACATTATAGAATTAGTTTGGGGTTCATGAAGCTGTTCGTCTGAGAGACAGTGGTCACGTGACTATGACGTCACCAGAGCTGTGGGAGAGGGAGGTGTCAGTTTACAGTCACATAATTAACTATTACAGTTGGGGTGTTTGGGGACATGGCATGAGTACAAACCGGCCTATTTCCGTAATGCTATTGTATTTACAGCACTTGAAGGTCTCTTGATATAGTTGTTCCAGGTGCTCGGTCAGGGTAACCAGGGTAACCTTCAGGCTCTGATCTGATTGGAGGAAGAATAGAAGCTTGAGCTTCTTCACAAATATTTAGATCATAATATATGTATAACAACTTGTTATTAACAGGTGTAATTACTAATTAGGCATAGACCTAATTGGAAATTTTCCTGAGGGATGACGCAGAAAGTGAGGGGAACAAAAGTGAAAAAATAACTATACATTCTACACCGAACATTCGGCTACACTTTAATGGTTCTTCGTGCCTTTCTGAAAAGACTTAAAATAGCCTGCACTTTGCTTATTTCATTGTTTACTTTGAAGTTCAATTAACTTTCACATCAAATTTTCGTTTGAGTAAATTTGAAACACAAATCTCACGTTTTAACTATAAAATCAATGTTATTAACGAACTTGGCAGATAATCAATTATATGTTGAAAAGAAATGGCTTTAGTTGAACATAATATGGGAAGTGTTTTTGAGTTGTTCATTTATCATAGGTTGGTTGCTGTAGGTGAGTGTATCATAAGTTTACAAAAGATTTTACGTCTTTGATAGCATGCACTAATAAAAAAAAGGAATTTTTCATAAGTTTTTCCAATTTCCGACTCTAGCAATACCCTGAATGACTGCTCTTTGCCTCGGCCATATTAATTGTAAACTAATTGCTTCTTAATTGCGTCGTTATCTTGGGTAAATTTCTATTGATCCCGTTTGATGCGACAAGGAAAAGGCTCTTATCAGGAAAGGAATTATTCAACGTTTCAATGTGACAACATCGTATAATCGTATTCATGACCGTGTAACTATGGTAACTAGTAGTGTAACTATGGTAACATCGTATTCACGCCACGGAGGACTGGGATTTAGCTGATAGTAAAGTCCATCTTTTTCCTTTAATCCTGATCTCAATAGACCGACTGGAGCTCCAGGTTCTGTACTGCGGCATCCTCGTGAGATACAGACAGGGGTTTAGTGAAGAGTTGAGGAGGGGGAGGAGGAACACTGTGATCAGATGCGCGTAATATTTGAAACCCTCGTTACCTGCGGTTAATTGGTTAAACTGGAGATGATTGATTATTATTAATCACACATAGTGTTAGTTAATGATTCTTATAATGATACTGGTTAACTTAGCCTTGGAAAGCTACTTTATGGCGTAATTTTTATTGGGTTCGGTTAGACCGGTCGAGAAACACAATTTAGTTATTTGTTTGAAAAACTCTCCTAGGTTTATTTACTAAATATGAAAGCTGTGTAACTATGGTAACTACAGAATAGTCTTAACAATAATCGAATAATACTTTAATTTATTGAAAACAGGTTGTAAGGCATATCATCCAATAAGGTATATCAAAAGTTAAAAAATGTAAATAAACAGTACCTCTGACGTTTCTCTGCACATCCGGATGGAATAGAGATGTGAAGTAGATGAGTTGAATACAGAAACATGGCAGATTACAGATAAGGAATGTTGCAGTGAAGAGAGCCACTGTGACGGTTGCGAACCTAGAATTTTTGTAAATGAGCAAAGAAAAGCACTTTACCAACAAGTTGCAACAACTTATAGTTGCAACTATGGTTTCTAATAGTGTAACTATAGTAACTAGTAGTGTAACTATGGTAACTAGTAGTGTAACTATGGTAACTAGTAGTGTAACTGTGGTAACTATTTGTGTAACTATGGTAACTAATTTGTGTAACCACTAACTATGGTAACTATTTGTGTAACTATGGTAACTATTTGTGTAACTACTAAATATGGTAACTATTTGGGTAACTATGGTAACTATTTGTGTAACTATGGTCGAACCTCAACTCTGTATCATCCTTCAACATCTTCCTCCGGCCCTCCATCTGTTTGAAAAGCAGCACTGTAGCAACAATAAAACTAACAAGAACGAGAATTGACGGGACAATCAGCTCTAGCTTCAGAAGAATCGTGTAAAACCTGAAGAATTCCGCCACGGTTACACCACGCACCATCAATACTCCCTACAATGTCCAGTACTTATCTTATATAGTAATATTTTTGAATAGCTTTAGAATTTAAAATTTTATAGTTATCCGGCATCTTTAGAAAAATTAATTTAAAATTAATTAATTGTTTAAAACCTGCCCGGTCCATGGTTTTGTGCGCCTGCTGGTTCAAACATTTCACAGAAAGTATCCTCTTTTCTATACCTCATCTCCAACAAGCCAGTTGCAAGATAAATAATATCGATGATAAGGATAAAAGCACTGTAAACCCCTAGTGATAAAATCACAGCACTTCTTTTCACTCGGTGTACTGGGAAAGTCATTCCCATTGTCCTAGTCACACTGATGAGAAGAACCAGGAAGATTGAAATCCTGAGAAGGTAGTAAAACAGGACAGTCCAGATGAGACAGAAGGCTCCGTTACCAAACATCACAGGAACACGGGAACTGAAGAGAAAAGATAATTTTATTGTTTATCACCAATTTATCAGACAATGAATATACATCTGAATAAATAATATTCAATTAAATTTTGAAGCTTAATGGTTATATACTATTATAATTAATTAATAATTAATTAATATAATGGTAGTATACTATTATAATTAATTAATTAATAATTAATTAATATAATGGTAATATACCATTATATTAATTAATTAACTAATAATTAATTAATGTAATGGTAATATACTATTATAAACCTGAAGAGTGTGACAATGACAGGGATTGATATGAGGGAGGAGGTGATGTCGATGATGCTCATAAAGCTGTACATGAGGGAATGTATTGACTTCTTCTTCTTCTCCATGAAGTACGCCATCGACCAGGTGTTGCCTAAGAGAAAATGTGGTTGCTATGGTAACACAGGGGGTTGCTATGGTACGAAGAATAAAAAGTTGTTACTAAGACCAAGATACTAAGTACTCCCTATATTCAGATCTTGTTCAGTTGATATAGAGGATATACATGCTAAGGCATTTTGCTTATAAAATAGAGCTGATTAAAGGATGTTATTAAAATAACTTTAAATAGGTATAACTTCTATAACTTATATTAATTCCAAAATATCCTACAATTCACCTGTCAGAGCGACGACACACATCACAATCACCAAGCACCCCAAAGCAACATCAGCCGGCCCACTAAACCCATCTCCAGTTATCATAGTTTCCACCATGTTCTCCGGACCCTCCTCACTCAGGGTAGTGTTGTTAACCATCACTGTCTTAGACATCTTAGTACTCAGCATCTCAGTGCTCGTTATTGTATCAATGTCGTAGATATTACCAGGATTGATGAATAACCCAGGCTCTGGTGCAGGAGTATTCGCGAATAGGATTATTTTGTCTGGAGGTTTATACGAAGCAGAGCTTGTTGGTGATGTGAAACTGTGTGTTGTTGTTAGCTGCTCGCTTGTAGCTGTGGTAACTAGTAGTGTAACTATGGTAACTAGTAGCTGCTCGCTTGTAGCCATGTTGCTGCTAGGGTGTTATAATGTTAGTTACAAAATAAATACAAATTATTTTAATACTTTCAACGCTACTATATAATAAATAATTTGAGGCACTAATGATTTAGTTTTACGAAGATTTCAAGCCTTACGTTGCTTGTGTGTTTCCCTTCGTGTCCAAAAGCATTATAAATACAAATTAGATGTGATCCACCAACTCCACATACAATATCATGTGTAACCATGGTTACTAACTCCACATACGATATCATGTGTAACCATGGTTACTAACTCCACATACGATATCTTGTGTAACCATGGTTACTAACTCCACGTACGATATCATGACGTGCAACCATGGTTACTAACTTCACGTACTACTTTTAGTAATCCCATTGTTCCAAATAAAAGAACTGATATCTATTTAACCCAAAACAGTTCACCGTAAACAACTGTGTAAAACAACAAAAAACGATACATTACAAATTCACGAAACAAAAAGTGTACGCCTCAACAGTCCGTCGCACGGCAAGTTATTACTACGCACTAACAGTACCACACAGCAAACGAAACACATATTGTAACGTATCGTGACACATAGATTGGGCGACATCTGTCCGACAGCGACATCTGTCCGAAAGCTGAATTAGGGATTTCGGACAGATGTCGCTGTCGGACAGGAGTCGTTTTTGGCGACATCTGTCCGAAATTTGGATCATATTGTAATTTCGGTTCACATTCGTATTTGAATTTCACAAGCTCACAGGTAATCTCGTGACGTTCTAAAGCTGATGTGATCGCTTAAGATCTGATCCATCGATACGTGATCGACTAGTTGAGAACAGGATCGTGCTAGCCGTACCCTAACAAGCTGTCGATCACATCACAGGACATGAGTACATATAGGACAGCAGTATGTAGATCACTTATCGCAATCCACAATGACAACCAATCTTCAGTTTATCCCTGGACGCAAACAAGGCTCGGACAACCCTGTCCTAAATGGCTTCAGATACGTCTTCGACAAGCGAAGAGACGACACCTCCTACTGGAAATGTTCGGATTTCCGAAAGGGTTGCAGAGCCCGCATCCGTACCGTGGACAAACAACTGATCACTCTTACTCCTGACCACACTCACCAACCACCAATCCTAACTTCGCTCCCTACATGTGGAATCAACACGAAGCTGCACAGATGAGGATTCCTCGCTCATCCAACATCGCAGAAGGTTGGCATCACGGATTCCATTCAATGCTGTCCTGCTCGAAGCCCACAATTTGGAAGTTCCTTGATTGCCTTAAAGCAGAACAAGCCCTTACAGACGTGAAGAAAACCAAGAGAGACGGGCGGGAACTACCTGAGCCACGTGCACCCAAATGGATCCGTTATGATCGACAACTTCAGAGAATTGTAGATGATTACGACAACTACAGCAACCCTATGGATTTCCTTAAAGCTATCGGAAATTTGACTATGCTTTAGATTTGATTCTGTGATATTGTATTATATTGAATTAATTTATAACATTCAAATAACATTGAAACTATTGTTCAATTTATCGACATCAAATGAAAATAAACTGTGGTAGTAAACTATGGCTCAGATCATATCTCAAATTGGACATGTTACGTATACAATTTAGCAAGTAACAGTTTAGATCATGTCTCTAATTGGAAATGTGTCGTATTGAAATCAGGTCACAATTTCGGACAGATTGTTGTCGTTTTTTTCTGGTACCCTGATTCGGACAGATGTCGCTGTCGGACAGATGTCGCTGTCGGACAGGAGTCGTGTTACCGACACATATTGTAACGTATCGCAACCTTATCCAGTGTAAAACCTTACAATCTCCCGACAGCTAGTTTAGGAAATTAGTGTGACATATTCTCAGATAGTTTGAAGTGTGATACTAGTAACAACTACCTGACTAACTGTAACAATATAGTGCATATTAGTGTGATACTAGTAACAACTACCTGACTAACTGTAACAATATAGTGCATATTATGTAGTATTATTGATATATTATATACAGGGTGGGCCAAAAGTCAGTGTGCAAACGTTGGCCTTAATAGCTCAGTCACTGAGTGCCCAATTGAAATATATATATATGTATGTTGTTAAAGTTGTGCGTTCAATGCGAGGGAGAAACCCATTGGGAAATATTTATAATACTTTTTTAACCCATGTTTAAATCCTCAAGTCATCTAGAATAGACCTTAGTTGTAAATGACTTCATTTATCCTAAATATGCATTGATTCCTTCCTTTCTCCCAGTTAAATGAATAAATCAAGGCTAGCGTGTGAAAACTCTACTAACGACTGTAACATGTGTAACCATGGTTACTATCTCTACTGACACTGTAACATGTGTAACCATGGTTACTATCTCTACTGACACTGTAACATGTGTAACCATGGTTACTATCTCTACTGACGACTGTAAAATGTGTAACCATGGTTACTATCTCTACTGACACTGTAACATGTGTAACCATGGCCATGGTTACTATCTCTACTGACGTGGTTACTGACATGGTTACTATCTCTACTGACGACTGTAACATGTGTATTACCATGGTTACTATCTCTTCTGACGACTGTAACATGTGTAACCAAGGTTACTATCTCTACTGACGACTGTAACATATGTAACCATGGTTACTATCTCTACTGACGACTGTAACATGTGTAACCAAGGTTACTATCTCTACTGACGACTGTAACATGTGTAACCATGGTTACTATCTCTACTGACGACTGTAACATATGTAACCAAGGTTACTATCTCTACTGACGACTGTAACATATGTAACCATGGTTACTATCTCTACTGACGACTGTAACATGTGTAACCAAGGTTACTATCTCTACTGACGACTGTAACATGTGTAACCAAGGTTTCTATCTCTACTGACGACTGTAACATATGTAACCATGGTTACTATCTCTACTGACGACTGTAACATGTGTAACCAAGGTTACTATCTCTACTGACTACTGTGACAACTATAAATTATGAAACGGTAAACTGATCAAATCAACCAAGAGTTGACTGAAATGAGTCACTAGATCTGCGTGTCAAAATTATATTCCTAAGACTTCTCCTGCTTCTCTCTCATCACTTTTCAGCTGTAGAAAGGAATGCTATGACACAAATAAAATATCATGGCTCATAATAATAAATCAAACACTGTAATAAAGGGAATAAATGTAAAATATGCTGTATATTTATGCGCCGTCTAGACTCTAGAGCTTACGATAAGAAGCATTGTTAGTTATAAACGCCACAAAAACTACAGTTGGAAAGAACACTGAACTATATTATGGTGTCTAGGAGCTTCCAAATTCTTCCTCTACAAATTAAACATTGTAGAATACGTGATGTGAACGAAAGGGAGAAAATTAGCAACAAGCCTTTGAAGTACAAACTTGTATCGAAATTTAAGAGGGAGGAATTGAGAAGTAGTAAAGTTAAGAATCTGTTATAATTATCTGCAATATTTCGTGTAACTACTTCGTTACTACATACATTGTGATATTGTTAAGAATGGTAAAGTATGAAATGTGGCGTTTGCATGCAACAAGCTTACTGTACTGTTATGGCAGCATTAAGATGTTGTAGACTGTAGTATTATTAAGGTTAAACTAAGGTTAGTTACCCCGTGTTAGTTAGTTATTACACAACTTAACAAATACCCGTGCTAGTTTATGACAACTCGCGCAGCATAGGTATTAGGTAAGCCATAGAAAGTATTTTAACATTTACAATCTCTCACTGTTAAAAATGAACATGATAACCAAACTGGGACAACTTGTTTTATTAAAAACTATGCTTGGTGTAGCTCGTTGGGATAGTATAGGAATTCTGGTTCCTATAGTTGGGAATGAGGTAGTTGTCTGTTCACAGATCGCCCTCTAAACTTACAAGGAAATATTTCCTGTAGATCCTTGGTATATAAGCAACATTTGACAGAGGCATCTTGTGGAGTGAGCTATGTGCCCATCCTTGGAGAACCCGGTGGATGTCCTTGCTGTACGGCAGTGTTAAATAAGGAACTGAAACCAAGGGGCTCCGTTCAGGCCCTTCACACTTTGTTTCTGTCTAGTTCGAATGTACCGTCACAACAGTGACTTTAATATAGTAACAATACGTCCCTACAGGTGTTACAAATATTTTCCTGTCAAATTTAAAGTCCCAAATTTGTTAATAATATGGCATCAGATGGTCATATCTTCACAATTTATTGATATGGATATTGTATATCTGGTTACTATGGTTACTGCTGTGGAGGTTAACCATATTTGTTTTGACACGTGGTATTAATCCTTGATTTTGTTGGTAACAACAACAACAGTAACCATAGTAACCAACAACAACAGTAACCATAGTAACCAACAACAACAGTAACCATAGTAACCAACAACAACAGTAACCATAGTAACCAACAACAACAGTAACCATAGTAACCAGATATATTCCTCATTTAAAGACATATCTTCCGTACTCTAAGAAGTGTTGCAAATAGTGGATTGTTCATTAATCATTATATCTTAGATAAGTTCAAAGAAAGTGCTGGAAGGAATTATAATTACCGTGATAAACGTCTATTGATCGAAACTGGAGAGTGTGGTCTACCACAAACGTGTATATCTCGATTATATCTGTACAGTTGTTTAAAAATCTCAACGTTGTCTTAAACAACCTCAACAATTTCAAGCATTCAGGAACGTGGCAAATATGTAACATAATAGTGGCAAATATGTAACATAATAGTAACTTATGTTATAACTGCAGTTATCTAACAAGGTATGTGCTAAAAACAAGGATATAAGACTGGCCTGGCCTCAATATGTGTCAACAACAACAGTAACCATAGTAACAACATGTGTAACCATAGTAACAACATGTGTCAAATTTCGGTTTCTTGGACACGGATTTGTTAAAGAAGAAGAGGAGGGTTGGTTAGCTAATAAAGTTAAGTACGGGTAAGTCGTACAGTAAAATACTGATAAGACTTTACCTGTAATTACATGTTCTGAGTGACTTCATCAAATGAGACTAGCGCGGTCTAACTTTAAGTAACTCAACAAGTCTTGAAATGAAGATGATCACTCTGCATCAGCCTGGAACAACAAATTTAACAAGTTAGCAAACAAGCCTGTTCTGGAATCAACGTTTCCATAGCAACCTCCCATGAATGCGGGTGTAAATTGTTTAAATGTTAAAACTATCGCGTTAACAGCCTTACCTGTGCTTACTGCCACAATATGTCAAGAAACTATTTACCCTGATTTCAGGGTCTCTTCAAAGTTTAAAGACCTTGCCAATTGTTTACTTAGATTTCGTTCTAATTTGTATTAGAGCGTTGAGCCATTCTGTCACCATGACACTACCAATACACCATGTACATTGTACAATCTATTAACGTTTTATAGAAACAGCAATAAAACATATCTCTAACTTGACACTTGTAAAATGTAAATGCAAATCAAATCGGCTTTGAATCTTGTCTCAGCTGGCATCTTGGCGAGTTGGCATGTTAAAACTAATAGTTCCCTGATATTATCCGCTATTTCTCCCGCCCCTTTGACGTGAATTCCATTTAAGAAGCAAAAGAAACAATCTTTGGTGAAGCACTATGTATTATATAATAAAACATTCCACGTAAAGGAGAATGTTAAATTGTCGTTGTTTATTTAAGACATAGCTCTCATAGTACTAAGTAACTTATCTATACTTTATTGTAGCATAATAAATACTTCGTCATGAAATATGTTCGTTACTCGAGAATTTGTCTCCTCCTCGATTTGGCCCGGTGTTTAACTTAGTTCGATACTTCATGGCTCAAAATTCCAAGTTTCAGTCACGAATTATTGTGATTTCGCGAAGCCAGATAATGTAAAAACATAAAAATATCGCGTAGCAATTCTCGTTTTGATTACTCAATTGTGAATACCCTCAAAACAGTATATAAAACATATTTCATACTGTGTCTCAAATGTCAAAATCTACAAAACAGTTAACTTAAAACTTGTTCTTTATCCTCGTAATGCGAGTTGAAAAATTCCGGGCACCACTGGTTTTGGCAGGTTGCATTTATATCTTTTTAATTATAAAATGTAAAATAACTATTTCTTAACAACAACACCACGTCAGGTAAGACGTTGTGTGCTCGAGCAGTAGCAAACAGGACAGATGCGTGCTTCATCAGAGTAATCGGCTCCGAGCTTGTACAGAAGTGAGTTTAACCTTCGTCACTGCGCAATGCACGTGCATTTAAACTTGGAAACTTGTCATTCCCACCGGTTCAAATTCTTGTCAATTTTAATAATCTGTGAATGCTGATTATTGTGTATTCAGGTACGTTGGAGAGGGCGCTAGGATGGTACGTGAGATATTTGAGATGGCCCGGACAAAGAAAGCTTGTCTTATCTTCTTCGATGAGATCGACGCTGTTGGAGGTGGGTAAACTATACAATTTATTTTGTTATTTAAAAAATGTTTTTGGTTTATTTACCAACAGTATAGTATAGGACATATTTTGATAAATTTTATTTTTTTATAAATATTTGAAGTATTTTGGTATTTAGCCGAACAGTGGCGGAGTGGAAGACATTTTGCAGTGTTAAATTTTAGTTTACTGACCAGACACTGACGTTGTCTACTGCTTTTTGGTATTTTAAATATTCTGTCAAATAACATAATATAGATATATATTTACGTACCTTAATATTTTGTTAAATAACATTTATATTTACATAACTTAACATTTCGTAAAATAACTATTTGGTTTATTTAGGAGCTCGATTTGATGACGGTGCCGGCGGTGACAATGAGGTACAGAGAACTATGCTGGAGCTTATCAACCAGCTTGACGGTTTCGACCCTAGAGGTAAAGTTTTGGAAGGGATTAAAATCTATTGTTGTCCTTGAGAAATGAGATAGGATAGGGTCTCTGTGTAAACCTTGCGACACTAAAATCGCAAATATCCAAGGAGCTGTTTTATTAATTTTAACGACCTATTCTCGATTACAACCGAAGAACTGAACATAAACAATTGTCCAGGAAACATCAAAGTGTTGATGGCCACAAACAGACCAGACACACTGGATCCAGCCCTCACTAGACCAGGTCGACTGGACAGGAGAGTGGAGTTTGGCTTGCCTGACTTGGAGGGACGAGCTCACATCTTTAAGATACACGCCAGATCTATGAGCTGTGAGCGTGATATCAGGTGAGAACTGACCAGACAAATTAAATTCCCCAGTAGACAAGACATTTTATCAATTAAAAATAATCGTGGATATTTGAGCAAAAATTAGGCACCAGAGGATCTTTTTCCTCATTATGTTATGAAAGTATAAGCGTTAGTTCAAGGCGGTGTAAGGAAAATAAGCACTAAACAGTTCATTACTGCCATGAAATTGTGTTGTCGACTAAACCGCGTCAGAATTATCTTTTTTACAGTGTAACCGATACACGTGTTGTAATATTCCCAATATTGTAACGCAGCGAGCCTGTTGTAACACCTGTTGTAACACAGCGAGCCTGTTGTAACGCCTGTTGTAACGCCTGTTGTAACGCAGCGAGCCTGTTGTAACGCCTGTTGTAACGCAGCGAGACTTAACGCGGTTTAGATGTAAATTAAAAGTCAACTTGCGCTGACAACGGCCAACTTTGAAGTTTTGAACTGATAACAAGGCTGCGCCTGTAGAAGTGATTATTTTATTAGTAAATAACTTACTTATAACATTAACTTTGAAAGTTTGATCCGATAGTGGCGCCGCGTAATTACACTTACAGTATGAGTAAGCGATTAACTAAGTAAGCAATTAACTAAGTGAGCGATTAACTAAGTAAGCGATTAACTAATTAACTTAGCAGGTTTGAGCTGTTAACCAGGCTGTGTAAATAAATAAGTAATTTAAGTTAAATTACCGACTAATTAACTAATAAACTTTTAACTAATTAACTAATTAACTTTGCAGGTTTGAGCTGTTAACCAGGCTGTGTAAATAAATAAGTAATTTAAGTTAAATTACCGACTAATTAACTAATTAACTAATTAACTTTGCAGGTTTGAGCTGTTAGCCAGGCTGTGTCCGAACTGTACCGGTGCGGAGGTAAGGAGCGTGTGTACGGAGGCTGGCATGTTCGCTATCAGGTCCAGGAGAAAGGTTAGACATTTATCATTATGTTTATTCTAATAGTCTTACCTTGAACCAATCTATGAGGATTTATTTGAGAGTAAACATAATTTGACATAAATATGGCAATTTTACTGATAATCTCAAATTTTTCATACTTTACACAACCTCAGGTTGCGACCGAGAAAGATTTCAGAGACGCAGTGGACAAGGTCATCAAATCCTACGCTAAATTCTCCTCCACTCCTAAATACATGACATACAATTAAGGAATGAGGATTGATTGGTTTATAATTAATTATAATTAATTATATTTAAGAGATATCATATTTGATGGGACCACTTGCACTTTATATATATACGAGAGAGCTTTCTAGTAGTATTTGTTAATGTAACTGGTTTACAATGTCTAGTTGGTCAGCTTCTTGTCCCTTGAACCAACAGTATAGAATAGTGTGACCTTATTAATTGCTCGACATTTTAGATCTTTTTTTGAGGAGTTTTAGAAGATGTCACGTGTCATTATGACCTGGTTCTAGAGTTACAACATGTGATTTGTATTAATTTGATACTAAATGCAATACCTGTTGGCTCTGCCGTTTGGATATTAATTGTTTAGTTTGTCTAAGCCAGAGCTCTTTTGAATGAAAATAATTGTGTTATCCACAGAATCCAGACCATTTTGAGAAGAAAAAGCTTTGAAAGTGAAGTTTCGGACCTTATCAGCTTGCTGATCATCTTCAACCAGCCTTTGGCCTTGTATCACGTCGTGACCCCCACGGTCGTTTCACTAACTGTATCGTTCTTACGATACAGGGGGAGCCGTGCACTCGTGCGCGGCGGGTCATATACAACGTATATGACAACTTAGGCCTTGGGGTCGTTTGCATATTACGGTATCACTTTTTGGCCTATTTTTACCCCCGCCTCATCCCCATGCCCCCTCTTTTACTTTATCAGTTTTAACTATTGTGTTAAAATTACATTAGCGTAATCATTTAGTAACTACCTTCCTCCCCCTCGGTGATTACGTAATATTATGTGAACGACCCCTTTCTACTAAACTGAGCTAGAAATACACAAAATTTGGAACAAATACAAATGTAATTACTGCTGTACGGTATCTACATATTACCTAGTTATAGTAGACTGATGCTCAAACTGTCTGAGCTACTGACCAGTTCATTCTCATCAACGATTAAAAGGCAGGTTTAACACGCTAATTCTAAATTGTGTAACGGGTACAAAATTAGTACGACTGTAGAGTGCAGTCGATTGCAGAGTGTAGCCTTAAATCATAATTATCAGTGTTATACTGTTATATAATTATATATAGTGTTATGCGGCCGAGGATGACATGGTGGATCGTTCCTCTATAAGTCCATTCAAATGATATGTGAATTTTAGGACAATTATGATTAGCTCCAGTTACTTTAGAATTTGGTACATTTCCATGCAGCAATTCATAATCATGACGTATGATGTGACTATAATGGTCAGGACAATATATTGTATAACTATATGAGACACAGGGCGTGCCAGGTAAGAGACAAGAGAACAGAGAAACAACATCTTTATGCGACGCGAGCATACTTAGGACGGGGGTACACTTGTTAGTTGTTCTACACTTGTCCACACTTGTTTACAGTTTACACCATACATAAAAAGGCAAAAGTACAAAATAGCCTTAAAAAGCCAAAAAAGTGACATTTTTGTTCTTACCAAAGCTACCCCTGTTTTGCCTTTGGAAACGTACTATATGGAGACTGATGGGAAAAAGAAGATATTTAGTTTAAAGTCTAAAAAAGTGCACTTTAACAGCACAATAATTTTTGTTGCACACCAATCTCTGTGTGGGCATGCAGGGATCTTTTCGAGTTTCTTCCACGGAAAGAAGCGAGTTGCTCTAAGTCTAACAAAAGCCCTCACGTTTATAAATATAATAGGGGTCATTTACATATAACGTAATCAGCCGAGGGGGAGGGTTTCCAAATGATTACGCTAGTGTAATTTTGACACAATAGCTATGTGTACAACTGATTACGGAAGTGGGAGGGGGGTTGTAGGTTTACAACCTACCAGGACGCGCGCCGAGTTGGACTCGTCGACGGTCCTGATAATAATTGGAACAAATATTTGACGAGTATCACCCGATAAAAATGGCCAAAAAATGTATTACGTTATAATTGTGGACGACCCCATAGGCATAGCACGTCACGTAAAACGTGAAGGTGGAAGGCTTAATATACAATATTGATATAACGGGCGCGGCGATAGTCGATTTCAAATACTTGTCCATTGTTAATTGACGATGCCAATATATCGCAGCTCGGCGAGGCCCAGTAGCGCATCGCGCTGATCGCGCTACAAGAAAAGAGCGCCGCGCATTGGGGCTGGCGTGCAAGGTAATATTTGTAGCGCGATGCGTTACTGTGCCGCGCCGCACACTCAATGAGACTTCTCTAGATCGGCGAAATGCGCTACTGTGCCGCGCCGAGCTGAGATGAATTGACATCGTCAATTAATGCTTTGTTGAGAGATTGTAGTACTACACTTTTAGACTGCTACGAGCTCTGTGAGATTGATATTGTAACTTGTAGCGCGATGCGTTACTGTGCCGCGCCGCGCACTCAATAAGGCTTCTCACAGCGACAGTAACGTGAATTCCAGTTTTCCAACTCCCAGCTGCTGGGAGTTGAAACTACCAGAGCGCATTTTTATTTGAATTCTATTTGGAGTCGAGCGCTACGTTATACTCTTATATATAGCTCGTTTCAAGACGAACCCTTCATTTGTTCAGTTTGTCTTTCGATTACGTTTCTACTTTATTTTAAATCGTGTATGCGAATCTTCTTCATTAATTTTATGAACCAGCTGATTTTCGTAACGGAAGAGATATCAAGAATCTATCTTTTGAGCTTTAGTTACGTTTCTTCTCAATTTTGATAGAACATGGAACAGTTGTCGTTTTAGAACTAAGAACCTGTTGTGTTTTGTAGTAATTAAGCAATCTTGGGCTGAAACCATTTAATTCATTAATTCCGTATGATCTATTACTCAGCAAATTGAAGGTCAGGAATCTTTTCATTTACATTGGGAACGGTACGATTACCAGCTTATTAAGCAAATACAGAAACTCGACTGACTTGTTTGAGTTTGTGTAAGTTAGTTCAGTTACTAGAAACTAATGTCCTCTTTTACAGGAACTTCAAAACTGTCAACGCCGGTTTATTGTTTAAATGCTTTTATACAGAAACTGATTTAATATATGTACATATATATATATTGTATTTAAAGGCCCTTATAATAAGGGTAAGTCAAGATCACTGTCCAATTTTGATATTTCAATTTTCAATCATTGATTTATGAAGTAGCATGGTTGTTGAATGTTGAAATTGGTTTAATAGGCTTGTTCGACTATTTAGGTTCTACTTCTGAGCAGCATAGGCCGATCATAACATATTTCCCCAAAATATCGTATTTCAATATCATTAATATAATATGTCAAGAGATACATTACTATGTTACCTGGCCGGCTGTTCGGATTAGTATCCATTATTGCTGAGATTGATTATACATGGTGAGTATATTGACCAATACCAATCGTTTAATCGGTATTTACCTATTATCGGTGTCGTATTTTCAGCTAAATATTAAACAATCGAAACTTCAAAGGACCGTGGCCGTAATTTTGTACCCTCCTAGTCTTAGGTTATCACACCCCTATTTACCTCTTAATCACAGCCTAAATGTAGGAGACAGGAGTCATACAATAACATGATTATCGCTTGGGCAAGTTACATTAGGTGAGCAGTCATGTAGATATATATTAGCTGTATTCGATTTAGGTAAGAAGTCACAGAAACTTGGAAGCTGATTTATTTGTATCTCTCCTAGTTCTGTGTAGGCTGCATTAAGGTTAGATGCTAGGGATACAAAATACTTATATTGAATTCATTAGCTATAACTCTGCGATCAGTTATCTTTTCATTGTCTATGGTAAATATAGGTCTGATATCACGTTTCTGTTTGCCACGAATTTTATTTATCAGTTCCCAGGTTTTCTTGGAGTTTCCCTGAGTTTCAAGAAACTTGTCAGAATAATATTCAGATACAGCCTTTTTACGAACCTTTTTTAGAGCCTTTCTATATTCTATATGTAGTCATCATAACGGTTTCTTTTATTACAGCAGATAGAACACAGGCATGTGCCCCCTTTTGTGTCAGTTTCGCCTTGTTTACACTTAACTTTCCTGACTTTCGCCCAGTCATCATGCAGTCCATGGCAGTGGTTTACTGAGGCTATAATCCCGCCAGTAATCTAGGGGTTGTTCTGGATAGTGCGCTTAGTGGTTTTGGGTACAGCTAGTTTGCAGGTTTCGTCAATGCTGTTTTTAAAGATATCATGAAAGTTAGTAAAATCTATAATTGGTTCATTGTCTAGTTTGTATTGCATCACTTGATTAATTGAATGAATATATACTGTTTGACACACTTCCTCTTGTCTAGTTTGTTACCCAAGACTTCAGCAAATTTATCAGTGTTTGATTTATAATAGTCATAATATTGAGTGTGCTTGTGAATATTTTTGGTCTTGCTAATTTCCCAGTCAAATATTGTAAATATAGGGAGGTGGTGAGATAATATGTGATCAGTTATGACATTAGGGCTGGAGTAGATAAGAAGTTGTTTTATCATTTAATAACCTGAATTTGTGTAGTCGATAAGATGTTGTTACCTTTTGTACTTTCATGCTTTATATTAACACTGCAGCATGAGATTAGTATCCGCTCTGAAACCATAGTGTATAGCGTGTGCATTCTACGATGTTGCCCACATAAAACAAACATACGGGAGCTCTTTCAAATCGTAGGTTGTGTTTTAGTACGGCTGAGGCATTTTGAAATGATGATCAACACGGCAGAATCAGAAAAAACACTGAAACAATTTCCTAGGTTGATATGACTTTATAACTACCAAATTTGCAGGAAGTATGGTATTAGATTCTGATCAGCTGTCTAGACGAATCTTGTCTCTTGCTGAATTCAATTTCAATTATTTCTCTCATCTAATGATGTCGCAATCAGCCTGACTGCAATTGTTAGGTAAGATGTTAAGTGATTTTCAGATTTAATTAATATATTTTAGCTTAGTGATGGCCGATGGGTTAAAGGGTAGAAACTCGTTGAGATAACTGCTTATTCTCTCATGATCAGTGTGTAACTGTCCATAATGTAAAAGTCGTTATCTCACTCATGTTTACGCTAATATAATGCATTAAATAGAGGTACAATAACTGGGAGGGAGATAACTATTGTTATCTCCCTGGTCCATCCTTAGTCACTGAGATGTTGCTAATTATTTTAAAAACAGAAAGTGGCATAACTTATGTTCTGATAAATATTTTTGCTTCAAAATTTTACAGAATGTCAATAACAAGTAGTCAAACATTTGTGGCAAGTTTTGTGTGAGTGTGAGCTTCACTGAGCTTATTTGACCAATTTAAAATAATTAGCAACATCTCAGCGACCTGTAACAATTTTAAGAGATAAGGATGTGTCCTCTAGAAAGTTTGACTCTGGAATGTTATATGTAGTAATATTAT